TCAAGGGTTTGTCACTGTCTACCTAACGTTAAGTTTCAATGTTAATGTCTTTAACATTATTGGATGACAAACCATATACTTTAGGAAACTTTGCTTTATGCGACAACTTTTTTTCTTTAGGGCAATCCTAAAATGTTAGCTAGGCAGGTTTATTATTTAATTAACCAGGATATATAAAACTTGTATGTGCATAAAAACCACTGCCATTTTCTTTTATTTTTAGTTCAATACTCTTGTTACATCTGTTTAAATATAAGTATTTTCTTCTTTAATGATCTCGTCCTGATTTATGTTTGGAACTTTGCACTTGCGTTTAGCTACTTATTTATCTAAAACATGTCTTCTGTCGTGAAACGTTTAAGACTTTCATATGCGTTTGATTGTACATGGATCTACTTCTCTATATTACTTCTACTTAAATACCGTCGTTGAATATATATTTTACTTTTCAACACTATGATAACTATTTATCAATGTGTTTAAATAAAAATGAATAAATAAATTGAATTCTGCTTAAACCGGTGTTTGGGGGCGTGGACAGTACTTGCACATTCCAGTACCTTCCTTGAACAGGTTCAATCAATCCGAGCCTGCAAGATTTTCAATTTAGTTGTGTTGAACTTTCTCTAGGGATTCTGTTTTTTCTCTATTTTGGTATGAGTGTCAAAATATGACATTTTTGACTGCTAGCAAATATGCCCCAACATTTATATAAAAAGTGTAAACCAGACACATACACTTCGAGATGTAATGTTTAAAAGAGTTTGCTATGATATATTTTTGATACCGAATCAAAGGATTTAACATCGTGACAGATTTACATAGGGGCATGTTGTAAGACTATGCGCAACTCCGTTTATCTTTATCTTTCTAAATGGGATACCAAAAAATCTGAACATTGCGTGTAACAAATGCTTTGGATTAATACACAAGGGGATATCATTTTACTCGTAAATTACCAAAAATAGATCAGAATATGCAAAAAAAAAAGTTCTTGCTGCGTTAATCATGCAGTATAAATATGGTGATAAATACTATAAAATCAGTCATTAACGGCATAATGCATGTAAATTATTTCTTTAATTCTGAATATTTCTACTTTTATTAAATCTTTCTACATAGGTTCATATACATGTATTTTACTAACATATCTTTTATTGGTCTGATAAAAATTTCCGATGTTATTATATTTTGTCACCAGTGACTTTTTTCAATCACACTTATTTATTGATTGGTCCTCGTGTTTTCAAGTAATACAAACAGAAACATAAATCAATAACATCCAGACGGTGCATTTCTATAGTAAATGAGAAGACGGTCGATCACTGAAAGCAGACGAATAAATAAATACATTACTAAACGTAAATACACATTCTTGTATCAGGTATCTATTTGTAATTATAGCGATACATTATAATGTTTTATACTGGACAATTAACATCAAAGCACATGGCAATTCTATAGTGTTTTACAACAACTTTTGATGATAATTTCACTTCTCAGTTTCCGAAATGTCTTAAACTTTTAATAATATGTCGCGAGGTAAATTGATATCTGGGCGGACGATAACAGGTTCCTTAAATGAAAAAGGTTTAAAAGGTGCACACCAGTATGCACCAGCCTGCTGCTTCAAGTATACAATGTATGTTAATAGATCATTTAGTTGTTGGAAATTTTGTAAATAAAATAAATGTTCATTTATAGGTGAAGACACGTATTGTGTGAGTTCCATCATGCCAGCCAGTGAATAGGTTCCTATCATTAAACCGTATACGTCCGCTACTTGCTTGAGTTGTGCAACCGCAGCCAGAGTTGACGTTCGACTAGTAGACCGTTCATCAGTCAAAATAAGTACCTCTCGTTTAGTATATGCCGCATTTCGTACACCTGAAATATTCCAGTTTGAGAAATATCAGTATTTTTCCGTAAGAATACTGTTTTCAAGAGATGAAATAAAATTGCATCTGAGTATACAAAATATAACACATTTTCTTTTCATTATATGCTTTAATATAAGTTTAAATCAATAACATTACTTAAGATTTTAAAATCTGTTTTCCCAACTGTTTTCCTCAATTTCAGGCGACTTTCTCACTACAGTTCCAAACGAAATGCCGAAATTGAACGTTGAATGGCTATTATATTAATTTTTCCTAAATGAGTAAATGTGGTTTTACACCATGACGTTAAACAATTAGTCTCTACCAGAGTAATTTATACAAGATTTCCTAAGTGACAGATTGTCTACATTTTAAATTGTATATTTAACGTGTTTGAACAAAAAGTAAATACTTTTGATATAATTTTTTACATCTTTTCAAAAGAATGAAAAATTATTGGAATAAATAATTGATGTATTTATTATCGGAATCATACACCGTAACTTAGTATTTCCTTATAAGGAAGTAATCGGAAGTTATGTTTTTGGCGGCAATAGTGCACGAGTTTCTTGTAATTAGTAAAGCGGGCATTCGAGGTTTATTTGTCAAGCCGTTTAGATGTGAAATTTCCGAAAATATTGAAATATTTTCGATCATATTATACAGAAAGTTATGTAAATGTCTGTTACAATTGTTTTCTTTTTCAGGATTATGTACAGCTCAGAGCAAAGTAAACGTGTGTCTTTATACGCAAAAAAAAAAAAAAAAAAAAAAAAAATGGACTTTCAAAAGTGATGAGGCATATTCATTTAATTCCGTTTTGATTCATTGAGAATTATTATTCTGTTTGCATATAATTATGTACATGAAATGAGTTTATTTCAGCGACAAATTATCTGTGTTTTCTTCTATTTATAATTTTCAAAATTCGTTTCCTGTTTCCATTATGACAAAAATTTTTAGACCTCTAAATTTCGGGTTTTACGTCAGGTAGGTTCGAAGGAGCCGCTGGTCTTGAGCCTGGATTAATCCTTCACCAATACCTCCCCCTCCCACGTTGGAGTTAGGGTTGGGTATCCCGCTCGCAGCAACCTGACTTTCCGAACATTTCCAAAAACTTCTGTTTTTACAAAACTCTATTATTCAGTTATATTGGAAAGTTTATATTTCTTTACCTTTACACGAAGTATTTGGCATTTTTTAACAGATGAATTTGCTTAGTAAATTTATTACTATACAGTAAGTCATATGGAAGCTTTTTTGGACTTTTGTCTTGACAAAAATTGATATGTAGATTTAAATCCAGAATTTTGTTTTTGTTGGTTGGGAAAATAAACGGTTAGTGATAGACGGCTTACAAATACTCCCTCTAGCCTCTTTAAACTCTGTGTTGTGTTGTTTATTATTTCAAAGGTGTATTATTAAAGAATGTAAATGATTTATGCTCGTTTGAGTGTAACGAATTAGAGCATAATTGACATAATTGTAAATATTCAAGGACTCGTTTTAGGAACAGTTCTTGTTAGAATTATATCTGTGATATATTCGTATTGTCTGAACAAGCTCAATGTTCTGGCAGACAGCTATAATTGTTGCAACATTTGTTCAAAGTGTGAGTAATGGAAATTATTCAGAAATATTCAGAAAATTACAATACCTGTACCGGGCTGAAAGAGAGACTTTGTGCGATCAAATGCTTTGTTGGTATATGTCAACCCTCCTAAATATGGGACACTTCTAATGGCATTCTGAATACTGACTGTGGTACTGTGTGTATTGAAGTAAACGTTTGTAAACACATTCGTCGAATACGTCACCATGGCAGCTTGGTTATATTGATAGGGAAATCGCCTATCAAATGGACGGATTGGACACAACAGTCCGACAAGTTTGCTTAATTGTTCCTTTGGAAGGTTAAAATTCGAAATGCCAATACTTCCAGACCTATCTAAGATAAGTACCAAATCTCTTGGTAAAATTGTAGTACCACTTCTAAGAGTAAGACTTTGTCCAGTTGGTCGCAAAAAGAAATTCTTTATATTAATTGCCGTTTCTTTCACAGTAGGAACTTTACCTGAGAAATATGATGCAATGGCTAAATATACCAAATATACAGGATATTTTTACTCAAATATTTTAAAGTAACTTATAATACTTATACATATCTAACGTATGGTGGTGCCCATGAGTGGGGATAAATTTACTGTAATTGGCTAAGAATATTGTAAATTTGTAAAGTTTATGAATTTAACTTCATGTACTAATGTTTAAACGAACGTCGTATTGAAAATAGAAATAACATTAAAGTTACATACATTCGTTGATATTATCGTTACACCAGTTGATGTAGAAAAATAATAACACCTTTATTAATTAAATGTACGTTAAAAATCATATGTTTAGTGTCCGATAAAATATGCTGAATGTTGTTTCATATTTATATTAACTTAAGCATTCTGAATATCTCGATACAGAAAATATTATCAGGGAAACCCTTGATTTGGAAGTAAATGATATGGTCTTTGATAGAGCCCATAGACTAGGAGGAATACGATCCAAACGACCACGACCGATCGTTGTGAAATTTAAGGACTACGCAGATCGTGAAAAGGTCAGGCAAAAATCGTATGAGCATGATATTAAAATCAACCTTAAAGCGCAGCAGCAAGGCATCGGTATCCAAACCCCCCAACCTTACAGGGAAGCTAGGAAAGCATTCACAGACTTTATTGCTAGCGAAAATATAGACGAAGGAACAGCAAGAATATCTGGAACAAAATTGTATATCAACAATAAAATCAGTAAGAAGTATGTCAACGGGAAAATTGTAATTCATAATACATACTAGGAAAGCCGTGAGAAGGATATCAATGATATTAAAATACTTTCATGGAATATTCATGGATTAGCAAGGAAGATAAGTGATATCGATTTTATTAATATTATTAGCGATTATGACTTGATATTTCTTTCTGAAACGTGGTTATCGAAAAATGCACATTTAAATTTGGATATAACTGGATATCAATGTGTTCATCTATATGGAAATAAAACCCGGAATGTTCGAAAAGGCAGGTTCAGCGGTGGTATATCAATCTACTATAGACAATCCCTAAATAAGTATATAAACATTATAGAAACTCATCAAAATGGAATAGTATGGATAGAACTTTTACAAAATTTATTTGATTTCAGTGATAATGTGTATTTATGTTGTACTTATATGCCGCCTTCAAATTCAAGAGTTATAGACACTAATAATTTTGATTTTTTCGAAGAGATCGAGTCTGGCTTAGAACGATATAAATGTAAGGGTAAATGTTTCATTTTTTGGCGATTTAAACTGTCGCACATCTAACATGTCAGATTTTTTAGAATATGATGAATATATTGATCATGACCTATATCTGTCAAATAATGTAATCATACCAATCCGGTTTTCCCGGGATAAAACCGTGGATAATATGGGTAAACGCTTGATTGATTTTTGACTGTCTACCTCATATATTGTTGGTAATTCTCGTTTACACAATGATCTAGGTATAGGAGAGTATACTTATCATTCGATTAACGGATCGTCAACTCTTGACTATTTATTGTTGCATATTGATGATTTTGAACTTGTTTCATTTTTTTGTATTACCCCACCTAACAAGTTTTCCGATCATAGCGGACTCTGTTTTAGTCTACCATGTAAAAATCACGCTTCACCGCCTATTGAAATACACAAAGAAACGTTTTTGAAATTTGACAATACAAAAATTTCACAATTTATAGAATGCTTAAACTCAAAAAGAGGAGATATATTAGAACTAACTAATGAAATTAACCAAAACGAAAATATTGATACTATATCACAATCTTTTATTAAGATTTTAAGCGATTGTTCAAATGATATTTTCGGACAAACACGAACAACACGAACTGTATCTATAAATAAAGTATTAAAGAAAAAACCATGGTTCAATGCTGACTGTTACACTGCTAGAGCTGAATTCAAAAAAGCAAGAAATGCTTTTGTAAAGAACAAAGACAATGATAACCTTCGTAATATATATATAAACTATAAAAATAATTATAACAAAATTAAACGAACCCAAAAGAAAAAATATAACTTTAATGAGAGGCAAAACTTAAATGAAATGAGTAAATCTCAACCACGTAAATTCTGGAATAAGATTAGAAGTCAGTACACTGAAAATAAAAGAAGGGCTGAAACTTTAACAACACAAGATCTATATGAGCATTTTAAAACACTGTATAGCACAGAGACAACAACTGGAAATACATCTTATAATCAAAATATTATAGATGAAGATTTAGATAAAGAAATTAATATGTCAGAATTACATAAAGCAGTATTTTCACAAAACAATAATAAAAGTAGTGGAATAGATACACTTATATCGGAAATATATAAAATCTCTTTTAATGAAACGTCTGATTTTATTCTAAGACTTTTTAACAGGATATTTCATACCGGAGAATATCCCAGGGAGTGGGGATCAGGAATTATTGTTCCTATACATAAGGGAGGTGACCCGGAAGATGCCAAAAATTATAGGGGTATAACTTTGATAAACATAATTGCTAAAATATATTCACAGGTATTACTAAATCGCCTAACACCGTGGACTATAAAACATAAAACTATAATAGATAATCAATACGGATTCCAAAAAGGAAAATCAACTACAGATTGCATATTTATACTTCACTCAATAATAGTAAAAGCTCTTTCTGATAAAAATAAATTATACGTAGCCTTTGTAGACTTTGAAAAATGCTTTGATAAATTACAACGTTCGTTTATCTTTCAAAAACTAATCCAGGAAAATGTTAGTTCAAAATTTGTAAAAGCAATTGAAAGCATGTACAGCAGCGTAAAATCAGCGGTAAGGTTTAAAAAAGAGATATCACCAAACTTCACCTCAAACATAGGTGCAAAACAAGGTGACCCAAATTCAAGTCTTTTATTTTTATTCTTCGTTGATGACATAATTCATAACATTAATAGTAACATTGATGGAATTTTCACCGTTCATGAATTAAAATTATTTATGCTACTTTTTGCTGATGATACAGCTCTTTTTGCCAATACACCCAATGCATTACAATCAATGTTAAATGATTTGAATTTATACTGCCAAACATGGAATCTAAAAGTTAACACATCTAAAACTAAAATAATGATATTTGAACAAGGTAGACATTCAACGTTTAACTTCATTTTCAATGGTCAGACCTTAGAAATTGTTAAAAGCTTTAAATATTTAGGCGTTTATTTCTTTAAAAATGGACATTGGAATCGGACACAAAAGCATCTTGCTCAACATTCATCATTTTCTATGCATAACCTTTTTACAGTATTTAACCAACTTGATCTAAAGATTCAAGATAAATGTAAACTGTTTGATACACTAGTTGGATCCGTCTTAAATTATAGCGCAGAAGTGTTTGGATACTATGATTGTAAAAATATAGAACTTGTACATTGTAAATTTATTCGAAAGATCCTTTGTGTCCGTAAATCAACAAATCTAGATGCATTATATGGAGAAATAGGGAGATATCCAATGGCAATATACCGTAAAATCATAATGTTCAAATACTGGATTAAAATACTTAAGTCACCTGAACTCAATTCTTAAAAAAATGTATAACATGCTAAAAGAAGATGCAGATAATGAGCTATCATACAGAGAAAAAAACTGGGCTTATCAAATAAAAAATATATTAAACCAAATAGGAATGTCTTACTTTTGGCTACAACAAGATAATTTAAATATAAATGTATGTGTCATAAAGAAAAGAATTTTAGATATCTACAAACAAAATTGGTATTCAAGTATTAATAACTCTAACAGACTTTCGTCTTACAGTCATTTTAAACACGAATTTCAGTGCGAAAAGTATTTAAGCGTTATAAACAAAGATAGCCATAGGATTATTTTAACCAAATTTAGACTATCAGCTCATAATCTCGAAATAGAAAAAGGAAGGCACGATAATATTCCAAGAGAAAACAGAAAATGTCGAAATTGTTCATTAAATTTAGTAGAGACAGAATATCATTTCTTATTAATATGCCCGAAATATTACAATTTACGTAGAAAGTTTTTTAAACCATATTTTTGTAGATGGCCTTCAATGCAGAAATTCGAAACACTAATGACAAGCACAAATATCAAAACAATTAATAATCTGGCAAGTTATCTGTATTACGCATTTAAAGAGAGGACATAACTTAAGACTTTAATAACCGATAACATACTTTTTTCTTATGATTTACAAGTAAATGGGAGATAACTACGACAATAAATGATTAGTACATATACAACGGTTATGTCATCTTAGAAATATTATTATTGCCGTTTGATTTGTGGATATCGATATGATATAACGTTAACAAATATCTTTCTACTTAGCTTCTTACATATTTAAGTGTATTTATGTTTATACTTGTCACCAATAATTCTCGGCACGTGAACAAATCTCGTTCTACTGTGTACATGCATAAGTATTTTTTATGCAATTATGCCGTAACCTTTGTTTATATTTGTCAACAATACTTCTCGGCAACGTTAACAAAAAATTTTTTCTTCTTTGTTAAAGTACATTTGTTTCTTACATTTATAATTATTTCTTATGCAAACTCTGTTACATATATCATAACATTTGTTCATACTGGTTTACAATACTTCTCGGCTAATTGTAACTTGTAACACTTTACACTATACAGAATATGATTTGACTATAAATTGTATGTTTACAATTTTATGTTAAATAAAATTTATGTTATGTTATGTTATGTTATGTTATGTTATGTTATTACCTTGATACTGGAAACAGTTTCCGGAGCATGACTTAAGTCCCATTTGGCCCACAGTGTTCAGACTTCATAGGATGATTGTCCATATTGGGTAGAAACACCTATTGATTTTGGGGTCAAAAGGTCAAGGGTCAAGGTCACTATATCCTTCAAACTGAAAACAGTTTCTGGAGCAAAACTTAAGTTTCATCTGGCCGACAATATTCAAACTTCATAGGATGATTGTCCATATTGGGCAAAAGACACCTATTGATTTTGGGGTCAAAAGATCAAAGGTCAAGGTCACAATTAACTTAAAACCAAAAACAGTTTCCGGAGCATAACGTAAGTTCCATTTGGCCCACAATATTCAAACTTCATAGGATGATTGTCCATATTGGGTATAAGACCCCTATTGATTTTGGGATCACAAGTTCAAAGGTCAAAGTCACTTTTACCTTAATACTGAAAACAGTTTCTAGAGCATAATTAAAGTTCCAATTGGCCCACAATATTCAAACTTCTTAGGATGATTGTCCATATAAGGTAGAAGACCCCTATTGATTTTGGGGTCACAAGGTCAAAGGTTAAGGTCATTTTTAATAACTTTAGTATTAATCAACCTACAGCTGTAAAATTTTATAGGATGAACAGCGAATTCCCATGTCTTACAAATGCTTCATCCTTACTAAAAAAACACTTTCGGGCATATAATGCTCCGCCTAGCGGTGCTCTTGTTTGCTTCTTCCAGGGGTATCGTTTGACTGAAGTCTTGATATTTTACTAGAAGAAAACCAGTGAAGCACAACGTATTGATAACCCAAATATAAAGATGTTTTTCAGTTTTAAAAAAGAAATGTAAATCGTCCGGATATGTATTATGTGTAAGTTTGACGCATACTATGAATATTTTATATCTGCATGTGCTTATATAGGTCAAAAATTGATTTTTGTCTCTGCGTATCATTCTCTAAAAGTTACTTTTTTCTCTTATTCCTTTCCACTTTGTAATGTATTTGGACGAATTGGAAAAAACTGATTTAAAGATGTAGATAAAGGATTCTTCACGCAATATTTAAAAGTTGGCAGAAAAAAAGAACGAATTCAAACTTTTAGTACTATGGAACAAAATTACGGAATTAGAAATTGTTTACATGTTTTCTAAACTGGACATATTTTTTATTTACAGGAGGGTTAAATGCTGGCGAAACATTATAGGCTTTCTTTAAAGTTAAACTATTTATTTTCATTTTTGTAAATCATTACTGGGTGTAAGATTGCAGACTCAAATCTCCGTTATTTACACGAAATAGGCAGATGACGCTTAGAAATAAATGTTTATCAAGAAAGATTAACAATTGGTTCAAAATAATAAAGATGGATAATTGTAAATATATCAATAAAAATTATATTATGTTTCTTAATGACATACACTATAAATCAAACAGAAATTTTTGAGCAACATTTTCAAACGTTTATACA